CAATTCATAAAAATCTCCTTTAGTTAACGATCCTAATTCCAATCCAAATTGCCTTGGCTTCAAAGAGATTATTTTTTAGTTCTGGTTTCCCCAACAGATGGCGCACTTGCTTATCTTGTCCAGGCTTCTTATCTTATCTAATCATTATTTCCTATCTCGTTATTGCGGTTTTGCGCGAGGATGGTGTTCGGTAAAAACCATCGAAACTAGTCCTGTGAAAATTTTGTAAATATAACGCTGATTTTTGTTGTTTGACTTCTGAATTAGAGAATACAATGTCAGAAATTCTGAAATACTGCGCAAATACCAAGTGCCAAGTCGCTGTTCATAATTAGGGAAAGAGTTCAGAATCTTGATGATATTGAACTACCTGCATAATGGCAACGCGCAAAGTAATCATCTCCACGTCGATGTTCTCCATTCTGAGAATTCCGAGGTCCGGCGACCATACTGCAACAGCTTTCAGACGCTGAGTACCGTTTTCAGAAAGTGAGCTCTTCCAGAATGTATAGTCATTTTCAGTCCCTTGTGAGCAACAACTTGTAAGATTTTTCTGAAATGCAAGAATGTCCTCAGTATTTACTTAATTTCTGATAATAAAAACTTCAAAAGATTTATTACTGTAGATATTTTGCTATTATCCTCACCCGAATATCGGCTATGATACTATTGCCCAGATTTCTATCACTAGAGGCGAGTTTCTTGCATTTTCCTTCTGTTTTATGGCTGTGAGATCCACTGGGTAGTAACTGGAAACAAATGCAAGTACATATGGATAAATGAAAATGATATTATAAGTGAAAATTAGTATTGCAAACTTTATCATTTTAAGAGGACTTATACACTTTAAAACCCTTAAGATCTTCGAATATGTGATGGTTGCAAGAATTTACATAACTTGTTGATTTCAAAAGCAATTACTTCCAACCTTTTACAGCTGACTACATATATGCTGCTTTCGAATAGTATAGGAAGTTTGTGTTGCACAATATTTTATCATTTACCGCTTTGTCAAATTTTTCGTCTGCTCAAACTTGCGCGCACAGTTAAACATTCTGTTACTAATTTAAAACATTCTGGTTGCATAATTTAATCCATATTTAGTATAGCTTTATAAATTTGGAAACTACTGTGAACAAAATCCTGAGAATTTCCTGTTAAATTTTTTTGTTGGATTGAGTTCTAAAAGTATTTATTAAAAAATCTTAATGTTTTCGTGCATAAATTTTTAAGATTAAATATCATCGATTTTGGGTTCCGGTAGAAAATAGTGCCATAAAAGACTTCCATAAATTTCATATACCCTAGCCTTTTTTTAATATCATGCGCTCAGTGGAAACATGACGAACCTTTGTCCCAAAGCGATAATTACAAAATATTTAGTGGCAACACAACGTTCTGGTTACTAGTTCCCAAGCAGCTATATTATGTAGTCAGCTGTAAAAGGCTGGAAGTAATTGCTTTTCAAATAAATAAAATATCCCAATTCTTGCAACAGTCACATATTCGAAGATCATAAGGAAGTTATGAGAAGAATACTTACAATCTTTCCGAAGTGATAAAACACCTACTTATTGAAATCAATGCATTCTTTCGAGGCGACGATAAAACACTAATGCGTGAGAAGTTCTGTTTGATTTTATGTACAGCATTCAAACACCCGATTAATATTTTTTTTAAAATCTAAGCTATTTAACTTTTTAAAATTATAATCAGAGCCTTTTTCAAGCAGATGTTCTAGAAATAGTTTCAATGTTAGCAACATTCGTGAAAATCATCATGTAGATTGAGTCATACGAATAATTATATAAATTAAAGGATCAAGTGATTTATTTGAAATATTACGTTAATGCCTGTAAGGATCCTAAGTTTTACTAACGTTTATTTTATTTTAAATCTTTACTATCACTTCTTATTTTCTACTTCCGGCCAGAATTAAAAGCTTTAACTTATTTAGCAAATTTGTCTTGCTACGCCAAGTGCTTAAGTTGTGGCTTTTGCCAAGCAAGAGGAGGAGGAGTAGTTATTAGAAGCAGGCCGCTTGCCATAGTAGTTTTTACTCGTTTGCTGGTTGCCTTCCAGACCAGAGGTTTAATCCTCGTGATAATTTTAAACGTATCGTAGTTTAGCAGCTCTCTGTCTACATACGGCTTTTTGTTAATTAACGGCCAATCTTAAAGTAGGCACTTTATATTAATCCAAGTAGTTTAGTTAGAGTTTTAGTTAATATTTTTATTTTCGTCAGACCACAAGTGGTTGGTCTCTGTATTCGAAGTGGAAATCTCTGTAAAGATAGAAAATAAAGAGTTTCGTATACCCTTCCTGTGTGTATTGTCTACTTCACAAATTATTGAACATAGCTTGAGTAAGCTCCCTGTTCCGAGTTAGGACAGTCCATGTTTCCAAAGCAAGTAAAGAGGAATACCAGTCCTGATATGCCAACAAAAATTTTGTTATGACTAAAATTTATATTTCAATGGATATTTGTTAGTTTTACGATAATAATGCCCTTCCTTTTTCTAGTAACTGAACAAAAACTAAGCGTAGAATATTTTCGCCAAAATCTACATTTAAATGGGTGGAAATATGAATGGAGTTACATTATCTGCTAGTTCAATGTCTGCTTAGCATTATTCCAGGATTTCAGTATCTGCTCATATTAATCATTTAAATCCTTCATTATTAAAGAGAAAAAAAGAGTTATTGTTTTTTTTTTCCTCTCTTCTCTAGTACTGTGCATGTATGCATGTATAGTTGAATGATTTAATTGATACATTGTGATATATAAATTAAACTAAAAATACTAAAAAGAAAAAAAAAACCATATTGGTAATTGTGGTAGGTACCATAATAAATTGTAGAACACAGCTAACATGACTAACGCCTGTGATGTACTCAAAAATTAACTGATTGCATATCTAACAATCAGCGAATGAGGTAAAAAATATGGTCTTAGTTTAACTGTGCAATTTTGCCGCAGGTTAAGAAAAATCTTACAGCTATGGGTACTTAAAAGTCTCATTTATTCGAGTGAGCAATCTGCAGTTTATTTAGATTCTCGGTGGTACCATGTCTTTGAGATGAGTATCGGATGTACCAGTACTTCAGCGAACTATTTTTAGACGAACACTGCGGAACTAACTCGTCACAGCTCCTACAGAAAGTGTAAGAACAGAAGAAGATCTACCTAATGTATCTTAAACCTAAAGGGTGTGTTACCCCCGCGTCATTTCCCGCGCCATTCGGCTAGAGGGCGCTGTGTACGTTCCAGTAGCCATTGGCAGACGGATACGTATATGTAAAGCTGTATGTATGGTTCTTTCTTGAAGCAGCTTTGCGTGTATGTTTCAATAGTCAGTGGCAGACTGAATTCTAAAGGTGTAGGACGTGGAAGGCAGAGATGCCTAATAGTATGTCTTCAACTATTTCAATGTGCTACAAAATTCTTGTAAATAAATTTTATTATTCTTTCCGAAAGCCTCTTTGATGCACTCTTAGACACACGAAACCACTAAATGCAATAGGATGTCTTAATACTTTGCTTGTCAATCTTACGACTGAAGCAATTTCAGCCTTCCTGCATTATGGTAATTTCACGGATTGTTGAAATATTCTGCGTTAAGTTTAATATACGGCTGGACTGCTTTCGCAACAAGTCAGCTTAAAAGTGTCGTTTCATTACTGCTATAAAGGGAAGCACTGATAAAATCTTAAATGTAAGTTGACCCGCACATTCCGCATTATATCAGCCCACACTATACAGTGTCCATCTTCATACGTCTCTCTTTGCCATTCGAAAAGCATACATATAAATACTGTGAGAAACGTAAGAGAAATTGTAATTTGTCAGTAAAGACAACAATGGGCCGTCTCAAAAAATTCAATGATATTCTTCTTGTATATGCAACACTGACGCACCTTACAAGGCACTTCGATTAATTCAAGCCATTATGAGTAAATAGCAACCATTTGGAACTGATGTTACTTATGAGGGCAAGCAACTGAATGACAGCTGTGTATTTGCCTAGCTTCGAATTATTCTGTAATCTAATCGTTACTATTGACGACTCATTGTGTCACCTTTTTGTACCTAAATTTTGTCTACTGAAAGATATACTCAAGCGTTATTTCTTCGAGAACATTAAATTAAATGTGCTTTTTTTTATCTCTCGTTAACATTGTTCATGCTTTCAAAATAAACATTAGAAATGAAAATTTATAAAGTTAGCCATTTTGTTTTCCTCTTTGTTTACTGAAATAACTGGCCAAAGAAATGTTTATATTTTTCTCAAAACTTTTGACGTTTCACTAGCCTAAAAAAAATATTTTTTATGCTTAGGAAAATCTTATCACAAGCAAAATGAAGTGATAAGCATATTGTTGAGAATTTTGTACTTAGATAGATCATTTTAGTAGAATTGTTGTATTTTTCTGTATAATGTAGCGTGAGACAAATTTTACGAAAAAGATATGCCGGAAAAGTAAGAATGCAGGCAGCAAGTGCATTTAACATTGAGTAAATGGGTATCTTGGTAATACGTATAACAAAATGTCGCCAAGGTAATGACGGTTTTGGCGACTTACTTTTTTGCAAATTTGGCGAAAAATCACTAAAAGTCGCCGAATTTGGCGTCATTTTGGTCCGGTCCCTGTATTACCGTAATATGTATTGAAATTGAAAAGATGTAATTGGCTACTATATTAGCTGTAACTATAATTCCCCCCCCTCGTATTGCTTTCCACTTTTTTCGAGAAGCAGAAAGTATAGTTCGACCGTCTCAAACGCAACCTTGGCTGGCATTCTGCCAAAACACATAGACTCGTCCAAAAGGGGCGTTATTACTTGCTGCGACGTGAAAGGTGACGTGAATATCTTCTCTTCTCCGTACAGAGAGAATTTATACGCTCGAGAGAAAGAAAGTCCCCATCCTTCCACCCTATTTTGAGAATAATTCTGTCCGAATGTCGTATGCGTGTTTGCGCTCATGGTCGCGGATGGGGCGGTCGAACTATTCTAGAAATATCTCTCGGCCGGTGGAAAACTATTTAACGCCGAAGAGAAAGCATCTGCCCTCGGTTGCTTAGTTATTGTTGCTGCGATTTGTTGGTTCCATGTGAACTTTCTCTTTAGATGCACTTTTGCACTGCTTTGTGTTTAACACTCCTAGTAGTTTAATTCGTAACTACTGATCGTACTTTGTGATACTGTGAACTCTGTACGAGTATTTCTTAGGAAAATTCCAGAACTTTGAAGGTTTTTCTGCTAATAAAATTTTATTATAATAGCAGCGGACTTGTGTGCATTCAGTCTATGCACACAAGTGCATTCAGTGTGTGCATTCAGTGCAGCAATATTTTCTTAGCTTCATATTTTCTTTAAGTATCAAGTTGAGGTACAGATCCTTCAGGAAATCATTAGCGTTTGCAATATAACGGAAATGACCTCGAAAATGTTACGGAACTCCAATAATTATATTACTCCAATAATTAATAGGGGTAAAAGTCACCACCTGAGCAAAATTTTAACAAGATCTTAATTTAAGAATTAAAGCAGAAAAAGGATGAATTTAAAAATTAAAAATATTGGCAAAGAATAAAACACACAGTTCTACTTCAGTGTTTGAACAACAAGAGTAATTAATTGGTGATATAACTATAAATTATTAGGTAGAAGATTAAGCTATTGCACTGACCTCTATAGCCGTAGGACAGTCAGTGATGGTCAGAGGATCATTACTGACAATTACAAGATCCACTTCGTAAGCTTTCACGCTGAGGAGCCTTTCTTGCCATTTTTCTGGATCATCCATCACCAACAATTTTGTGCGCTTGTTGTGCATACTAGTTTGCACTAGCTGAAATGAATGTCAAAAAGGGAACACGAACTATTGCTATTCGTAAACAATCATACAATGAAAAATCACAAAGCAAGATTTTTAAAATGCGTGAAAATGAAGCATGTATATTTGAAATTCATTTTTAATAAAACTTGAATTTTATTCTGCAGAAGTACCTGAACATACTAAGATTAATTAGGATACTCAGATACCCTAATTAAAATGAAGATTTAAGGGGCTATTGCTAATTTAAGGTATAATTTTCAATCGTATTTCGCCTTGTAAATTTAATTCATTCTCGTTCGAGACTCTTAACTCGAAAATTTCGTACAGAAATATAAATTATTTCATGTTATGGGAAATAATTTAAAATTTTAGAAAAAGTACAAGTAAAAATAAGATATATATATATTATTTACAAAAGAATATTGATTATATTATCTCCTAATATAATTTTAGTAGAATTATCTTAAAAGAGGAATCCATACTTAGTAAGTTCAATTTCGAAAAATGTTTTAAAGTAACTTGATGTAAATTGTTAAAATATTTAACGGGGAGTTGAAATTAAATCAGAAAAAAAATTTCAATTGTAAAAGAAATAAATTAAAAGCAAGTATTAAATGATGCTAGTATCATTGCCATGATCAGAAATTAGTTGACGTTTCAAGGGGAACAAACCAACTCCCGTTCAATGAACAATTATTAAGAAATAAATACGAAGGTGTTTCGTCCTTTACTCGAGCAATAAGGCGATGCCAAACTTGCAATTCAAGCTAGGCCAAACATTTCCGTGAATAGAAGGGATTAAGAACCAATGCAGAGAACCAAAGATAACTCGATTTCGCACTAAGTGAATTTAAGATCATACAACATTATATATATATATAAGGAAAATTGTGTACATTTATATAGAAATTATTAGTTTTATTTATAAAATCTTTAGTTTTATATGCTTTGTATATATACCGGGTGGTCAAAAAGTCAGTATAAATTGAAAACTTAATAAATCATGGAATAGTAGATAGAGAGGTAAAAATTGACACACATACTTGAATGACATGGGGTTTATTAGAAAAGCAATATAGAAAAGCAATAATCTGATCAGAAAGCAATAATAGCAAACAAATTAAGACAAAGCAAAGATGATGTTGTTTAAGGAAATGCTCAATGTCACCATCATTCCTCAACAATAGCGTAGTCGAGGCATAATGTTGTGAACAGCACGTAAAGCATGTCCCGAGTTATGGTGAGCATTGGGTTGGATGTTGTCTCAGCATCCATAGAGATGTCGGCGATCACGATACACTTGCGACTTCAGGTAACCCAAAGCAATAATCCAACGGACTGAGGTCTGGACCTGGGAGGCCAAGCATGACGAAGTGGCGGCTGAGCACACGATCATCACAAATGACGCGCGCAGAGATCTAACGAGTCTACGATATGGGGTGGGCGCCATCCTAAAAATCGTACGTTCCAGCAGGTGTTATCAGCCGGCTGGGGACCGATGCGATTCTTAACATATCGGCGTACCTCTCACCGTCACGGTAGCAGTTACAAAACCAGAATCACGCATTTCCTCGAAGAAAAAAGGCCCGATAACAACTTTTTTTTTTTTGGTTCTAATAAAACCCCATGTCATTCTAAGTATGTGTGTCAATTTTTACCTCTCTATCTATATTATTCTGTGATTTATTAAGTTTTCAAATTTATACTGACTTTTTGATCACCCGGTATATATGTTACGGTGAAACACCGAAATCTGAAGAAAGTCGACTTTCACCGGTGAATGTGTCAACATTCACATAGTCGCTTGGTGTATGTCCGAAATATTTTCCAAATACTCTATTTTGACTTCACTGGTGAATGTCACATTCACCATGTACTAATGGGTAATGTGAAACATATAAGAATATTATATTTTCTTCTCCGTCATTCATTCGCGAAAAAACGCACTGAGACTCAGAATAAGAACTTCAGAATAAAACTTAAAACACACAGTACATTCAAATGAGAAAGGAAAATAATAGAAGTTTAAAACTTACCAAATTATGTGATTCAAATCTTATTTATTGCAACAACTTAAACTATTATGACACTTTGAATTGCACGAGAGGCCCTTGCTTTTACAACTGCATGTATTTGTGGAACACTTCCTTTTGGAATGGCAGCGTGTACATAGACTCCTCTCTTTTCGACCCACACCAGAGCATATCTGTGATTGTCGACAAACACCGGTTAGGGTCCGAATGTACAAGAATGTAAAGAAATATTCGATCTTTCACCGACATATTTGGTGAATGTTGACATTCTCTGGTGAAAGTCGACATTCTCTAATTTCGGTCTTTCACGGTAACATATGTATATAAAAAAAAGAAAAAAATTCTTGTGTTTGGTTCTATGTTTTGGTTTTGTTGCCAACAGCTGCTTCTTTTAGTCGCTTTGGAGAAAAAGATTTAGAAAACCTATTCAACGATGACGAAATCTATTATTAATTTAACATTTTTCTAAACTAATTAATGGCATTGCCATTGAAGATTCTGACGGCTCTAGAAACAACAGCTTGAAATTGATGTCACATATCAAACCATTCTTCCAACTCGCTCCAGCGCTACAAGGTTTTCTTTATCTTGCACGGTTGAATTGTTCCTTTTCTGCTATAATCTTCTTCATTCTCGGATGACATTTGCTTTTTCTTTCTTATCTTTCAATCTGCTTCCTTCTTAACTCCAGTTGCTCTTCAACGGTTAGTTCAGCAACTTTGTGTTTTTCTAACCATACCTTTCTACTTTATATCTGCTACATTAACTTCCGAATGAATATTCTTAGCCAAAGAAACAACAGTATCTATAGCGTCAATTTCTTTTCTAAGTTTTACTAAAAGAAATATTTGGACGCATACAGGATGTATCTTTTCCTAAACTTATTTTGATGTTCGTACAGAAACAGCTCCCCATGCCTGATTAACATGACGTAAAGAAAGAATAATATTTAAATTGGTCTTCCAGAATTCCTTCACGTTTAAACCAAAGGTAACGTCGAAACATGTTTGAAAAAGAGCTTTTTATGAAGCTTTCGAAATCGGCATTTATGTCTGTTCTGACATTCTGCTTTCAAAGACTCAAACGTTTTGAAGGAGATAAACCAGCAGATGTTTTATGTTCAAGTCACCACTGGCATTAACACAAAAAAGGAATGTTTGCAGTTCGCAAATATTGCCATGAGGCAACGGTTTTTATTTTATTGATTGTTCGTTATTTCCATGATATAAATAAAATTTGTACTTTTGTGAAACTTATGGAAAATATTTTAGAAATTCGTATTGTAATATTAAAAAATACATACTATAATGTTAAAAAAATGGTTCATATCTCGAGAACAGTTTCGAATTTAGAGATCAAATGGAATATAAAAAATATGCCTCGAAGTAGTGTATAACCATGTTTATGGTCCAAGATTAACCACTTACTTTTTCCGTAAAAGTAATGGCTAAAGATTTGATACACTTAAAATTGCATCCGTTATTTTGACGCAAAAGTAATGGTTCGATATTTCACCCATAACGTTTTCCACAAAAAATAATGGCTCAAGATTCCAACCATTAGCTTTTTTTCATTCCTTTTTCCGATTTTTCCGCAAAAGTAATGGCTCAAGTTTTCAGCCATTATTTTTTTCCGGAAAGTAATGGCTCAAGATTTCACTCATTGCATCTCCGCAAAAATAATGGCTCAAGATTTCAACCATAACATTTTCCTCAAACGCAATGGCTCAAGATTTCACCCATAAATTTTTCTTTAAAATTAATGGACCCTCCATTATTTTTTCCCTAAAATTAATGGTCTCTCTGTAGAGACATTACGTTTTTTTTTTTGGAAACAAGAAAGATGAAAAATGAGCAAACGCCTTCGCCAGGAATCGAACCACAGACCTCTGGAATACCGGCCCAGCGTGCAGAACCACTACACCACAAAGGCACGCTAGGAAAGGGGGAGATATACCTTATACCTCCACAAAAAGTAAACCTCAAGATTCCAACAATTAATTTTTCCGTTCCCGAAAAATAAATGGACCCTCCACAAAAGTAATGGTCGGCCCGTTAAATTTGAAACCTTTAAGCATAGTCTATACCCGTTTCTGTGTTGATCCGATAACCGGTTCTAACCAATTCCCATAATTAATTGGTTTAAATCTAAAGAAATATAAGATTAGCAAGGGCAAAATATTATATAATCTTATAAATACGATGTCATCTGAAGAACGGAGAAAGACCAGATTTAAAGGAGCTCACTGTGTCGAAGCTTCGTACGTATTGCAGAAGTAAAGGCATTCGACGCTATTCAGGGCTCCGTAAAGAAGAATTAGTTAACCACATCGAACGAAGAGGTCATGGAGATCGAACAGAATTAAGCGATTACACTTTGGCGGTGCTTCACAACTATTGCAGGAGTAAAGGCTTTCGGGGCTATACATAGCTCCCAAAAGCAGACTTGATCTAACACATAGAACGAAATGAAGACGGAAACGAGAGAAGGTTAGAGGATTACACTGTGTCTGAGCTTCACGAGTATTGCAGGAGGGCAGGCATTGGGGGTCAGAAAAGAAGCAGTGATCCAACACATTGAAAGAAGAGAACACAGTAATCGAGGAGAATTAGAGGATGGATGTTTGACGTTGCAGGAGAAAAGGCATTTAGGGCTATTTAAGGCTCCGAAAAGAAGAATTAGCTAACCACATCAGACACATGGAAGAAATGGAGGAGTGCCTTGAATGTGGTACGATGGTAGAAAGGTTTAAAATGTTGAAGCATCTTTCGAGAGCACATAACTCTGAACATCATTTCCATCCTAAATGATTGAAACAATAGCAAAATGCCCCCCAGTGAGTGTTTCCGGAAGCCTGGTTCCAACAGTTGTATATGAATTCAAGAACCAGGGTCCTGGAATACTCACCGGCTACTGGGCTTAACGCAAAGACAACACAACACTTTTGCGTCGGTTAATGAAACCACCACCCAACTCAGA